AGTTCATGACTACCCGTCCAAAGGCGTACATCCCGTTCGGTGTGGGACGACGTGTTTGTTTGGGCGAGAAGTTAGCCATCGCTGACCTCTTCCTAGTTTTGGTCAGATTTCTGCAGTCGACCCAAGATTACGATATAGTACTCGACAGTAATTGTGGTATTGATGCCGACCCTAATATCGCCGACGCTTTCAATCCTTATGATTACAAAATATGTTTAAAATCAAAATAAATAATTTAAAAAACAAATTATCTTTATTGAATAGTTCACATTTTATTAAAGTATACTTTTTTTCATGACTTTTCTATTTTATTCTGTTATTCAAAAAATGTATATTGATCTAGACATTATTAAACTTGTTTTGCGTTTCACTGGTGCTTTAATTCACAAAATACTTAATATAACGCGCGCTTGAATTGCTGTCAATTTGTTTTACACGTTTCAAATATATTTGTAAATATTTAATGAAATTAACAGTTAATGAAATTCATCGATTTGTGAGACAAAATTAACTCAATATCTCATCAAAAAATGAAATATTTATTCAAATGTGTGATTATATATACATTTATAATATCTATAATATTTGGCTACTGTATGGCCCAATGGGTTAAACCAGATATATGTCATTCAACACATTTACAGTAGAGGAGGTTTTTCGCATATATAGGAATCTATTTTTTATGACAAATGCCAAGACTTTCTACAGAATTCACGACTACTTCAATGGCTATGACATCGAGTACACGTCCAAGACTACAATCGTTAGGGTGTGGTATAAACACCGGGATATGTACTCCAAGTTAAGAGATATGAAACTCTTTTTCCCGATGAGAGACCCACGCGATGGACATGAGGTGATCGTTGGCATCGCTTTTGAACGGGTAATACATTTTAGTAACTAAATTCTTCTCAATTATAATTAAAATTGTTATTAAAGCTACATTACCTGAATGAAATCATCGCCAATACCATTCATTTTACCTATGATTACGAGAGCTTATCAATGACTGATTATAACGTAAATGTCTATAAAAAGGTGCCTGATGGTGATGCCCTGGGTTTAGCCAATCTGTTCATGAAGTTCCCGCAGAATAATATGGAAGGCCTAATGCACTCAATACTCACCTTTCCCTTCGACAACACAACAGGACTTCCCGACAGACGCATCAATTTGTAAAATATGAGTCATCGCTAACCTCTTCATAGTTTTGGTCACATTTCTGCAGTCGACTCAAGACTACGATATAGTCCTCGACAGTAATTGTGGTCTTGAAGCCGACCCTAATGTTATCGATTGTTTAAGTGCTCCTCCATATAAAATATTACTAACTATTGATTCTCACTAACTGTGACTTAGTTATATTAATAAAACTCACTCCATTATACAGATTTAGCTTGGTAAGTATTTGTTATCCAGGTCCGGTTTCCTAACGAAAAGTGGTTTGTCTAATATCCGGTGGTAAAGTTTGCCGATATTGATAGCTTTGGCGCTCAAAACTTTATATATTTGTTGTATTTATTCATTCATAGTTTTTAAATGAGTCGATTAGTATGTGTAGCTGGGTAAAACATGATTTATCAATGAATGAGTAGTTTATGTTCAATTAATAAGTAATATTTATTCATTTTTTCATTGTAAAATACTGAATTTTTAAATAAATGTGAACTTATATAAATCTTTAATCCAAATATCAATGATTCAAATAAAGTTTTTGCAGCTACACATACTAATCGACTCATTTAAAAACTATGAATGAATAAATATAACAAATATATAAAGTTTTGAGCGCCAAAGCTATCAATATCGGCAAACTTTACCACCGGATATTAGGCAAACCACTTTTCGTTAGGAAACCGGACCTGGATAACAATTACTTACCAAGCTAAATCTGTATAATGGAGTGAGTTTTATTAATATAACTAAGTCACAGTTAGTGAGAATCAATAGAAACATAAGTCAATTAACTGTAGAATTGTAATTATATTCATTGTATGGCAACTAGTTACAATATATATAACTTTTGAAATATTTTCTCATATCTGGTAACATCTTAGCCCTGATGATGGTCACAGTGTTGACCCAAACGTTCGGCAAATAACTTAATTTTTATTTTTAAGTCATTTTTCACTGATACTATCAATAAATATTGAAAACTTAAACTAAATAGTTATTTTATGTTTATAAAAAGTATTTTTAAAATATTAATGAATAATCATAATTGTAAATGATATATAAAAACATACTACAAGTATAAAATCACAATATACTTACTTAAAAACAATGTAACTTTGCTCTAAAATATTGCATGTTCATTTTTTAATAAATTACAAATTATAGTTCATTCCTCTATTTATTAAATAATATTTAGCAAAACTGTTGGATTACCTTTATCTTTATACAACTAATATCTGCATGTATTCACATATCTGCAACGAAAATATTATATAATTTTTTTAAAATTAAGAGCCTTAAAAATAAAATCTTTGAGCAATATTAATTAAATCAAATTTAAATAAATCAATTAAAAATTATATTACTAAACTTCTCAGAAAATTCATGATATGTTAAAAATATATCTAAATTTGTAATAATGTAAACCTTGAATGTTTATACTCTATGGTACTGTCGAACTCTGAGTTGTGTATGACCTAATGCAGACCAAATCTGTACACAGTAGGGAATGTTCACAACAGGGAATGTCAACAACAAAAAAGAATGTTGCCAACTTTACCAATATCTGGCAATCGGGGTATGAATATTGGATATTATGATTCAATTAATCAAGAATTATAGTATATTATCTCATTCATATTATCTGTAACATTTATGCTGATTTTATCAATTTTTTCTTAGTAAATAATTGAACTTGTTAAATCGAATTAGCAGAAAATTTACATCAAATTACTTCGATATAATTTCGATATAAAAATCTTATATACAATACAATTTCTCATCAATAGTAATAGATAATTGATTAAGAAACTAATTAGTAGCACATCATAATTTATAATATAATATTCATTCATCAAACACAGATAGCCATCTAAGGATGTATTATACAATAATTGACTAATCTCTTTATTTTGTGAAATAATTTTCATTTCAAAATTAGATGCACTTAATAATAATAGTAGGTAATCATTTATAAATTGTCGCTTATGCTCTTTAAAAAATTGAATATAATTTACAATTTTACTATTATTTTGTGACATTTTACACAACTCAGAGCGGAAAATAACACTAAATATTGCTAAATGTGTCCACAGCATAGAAGTTGACAACAAGGAATGTTTTTAACATTACAGGTATAGGGAAACCGCCAAAAAATCAGTATTAGTTCACACCATAGAGCGATACACAACAGAGAGATTGACAACTCAGAGCTTCGACAGTACTATTCGGTAACACTGTCCTGAATGCACTCGATAATCATCAGTACACTTATTAATTTGTTATGTTATATAGCGCACTATGCTACTTATAGTATAAATAAATGCTGTTTCTAATTAATTAACTCTATTATATAATAATATAAATAAATAAAATTAAAACCAGTGTTCAAATCGAAACTCCATTCCGATGATGTGCTCCGGAATGTGGCCAAGAAGTACGGCCCGGTATTCACGTTTTGGTTGGGAAACTCCCCCCACGTGTTTGTTACGGACATAGATATGGCTCGCGAGGCGTTCAAGAAAAATGACATTGCTGGCAGGACTGAATCATTTTTCGGTATAATAATCATTTATTTCAATTTTAAAAACAAAAAATATCGAAATAATATTTTTCTATGAAATAGGATCTCAATTATCTAATGACACGTTTAAAGACGTTGTATTTACCGATTACGGACATACCTGGGAAGCTCTTAGAAGGGTCGCCCACTCGGCCGTACAGTATGTGTATAATTGTTTAAAAATTTAATTACTGTATATTAAAACATACATACATGTATCTCATCCTAAAATTAAATTGATTTATAGAAAATACTCGACAAACGATAGGCTGGCATACGTGGCCACCGATTGTGTGGACCGGACGGTGAAGACTATATTAGATAAGGAAGGAGTGGGTAAACCCTTTTCGCCCATCAATTACACATATCTCACATTTCTCAACATATTAGCCACCAGTACGTTTGGGCAGAGGTAAGCATTGTATAATAATTTATACCTGAACATATATTTATTTCTTACTTTATTGAATATAAAGTACATATTGAATATGATTATATGAATAGTTATGATTTGGAGGACAAGGAGTTTAAGGATTTGAAGTATGTTTTAAGTGATTTTCCTCGAGAGGTCGGAACTCGCGTTGTTTTGTGGGAATTCTCACCGATATTTAGATTAATAGACAAAAAACGAGTCAATGAAATGAAGAAATTAATTAAAGAAAACGCAGAATTCATGAAACATAAATTGATTTCACATCAGAAAGACTACTCGGAATCAATTGAAAGGGACTTTTGTGATGCACTCATAACCGCTAAGAATGAGGCCCTCAGAGAGGGTAAAGAGTCGGCCCCTTATCTCACCGATGAAAACCTGGCGATGACTATATTGGATCTGTTTTTTGCCGGAACCGATACCTCTCAACAGACATTTCAATGGATGCTTCTTCTGTTGACATATTACCCGCAAATGCAGCGAAAGTTGAGACAAGAGATTGAGACACAAATCGGAGACCGAATGCCAACACATGAGGACAGGAATCGATGCCATTATGTCATGGCTTTCATTACGGAAACGCTGAGGTTCAGGAATATAGTGCCTCAGGGCTTACCTCACAGGGCTATTGTTAGGACTACTATCGGTAAATTAATTTAACAAAATTGAATAATTATTTATTTTAAATTTTTTTTGGGATAAATCTTAGGCAAACATACCATCCCTGAGGATATGGCGGTTATTGTATATCAGGGCTACATTTGTCGTAATGATAAGGATTGGGAGAAAGCAAATGAGTTCATTCCCGAGAGATTTCTAGATAAACAGGGANAGGATATGGCGGTTATTGTATATCAGGGCTACATTTGTCGTAATGATAAGGATTGGGAGAAAGCAAATGAGTTCATTCCCGAGAGATTTCTAGATAAACAGGGAGAGTTCATAACTACCCGTCCAAAAGCGTACATCCCGTTCGGTGTGGGACGACGTGTTTGTTTGGGCGAGAAGTTAGCCATCGCTGACCTCTTCTTAGTTTTGGTCAGATTTCTGCAGTCGACTCATGACTACGATATAGTCCTCGACAGTCATAATGGTATTGATCCGGATCCTAATACCAGGGATGGAATAGCAATAACTCCACCAGATTTTAAAATATCTTTAAGAAAGAAATAAAATAATATTTTGTTGCATTTAAATGTTTTGTATAATATTGAAATAATTATAATTTATTATTTTATTCATTCATAAAAGTGAAATAAAATCTTTTATATTTGATATGATAATAATTTATTAAAACTTTTAAAACTATATTTACTAATTCAGTACATAAGACTTATATGCTTTTTAATATTTTAAGAGATTACCAAATATTAAAATTTAATTTTAAGAAGTTAATTATGTAATTAAAATGTAAAATAATTTCATTGAAATATTTATAAAATAGTTTTATAGAAATAAAGTAAAATACAATTATCAAATTATCTAAAACATATTAACAATACATACCAACAATTTCAATAAAATGATATGTTGTGATTAAATTTTTATTATAATATGTGTTTCAAAAGTACAATGTGTTGTATGAGGTAATATAATCGATAAGAATTTAAATGCACTTGCAGGTTTGAAATGTACTTAAGTAATAAACTGACATTGATTTACATAAATACACTTTTGGTCAAGTTAAAGTACAAGTTAAAAATATACTTATATAATTACTACCGGTAATATTAATATAAAAATAAATAATCTTTATAATAAAAATTAAAAAGTTATGCACTTATAAAAGTAACCTAATGCACTATAACAAACTGATACCAAAAGTATCTGCAACTGTCATTATCTGTAAAGAATAAATCATTTCGACCTTGAACATATAACAAAAGTGTATATGAAATTAGAAATCTAATAAAATAATTTCAGTTTGTATTCACAACTCCCGTGAACACCATATTTGTCATATTTTCACAATTTAAAACTTAATATAAATTGTTTTTATAAATATAATAAATTTCTATATATTCTACTTATTATTTATGTGAACCACCAGAAATGTCTTTATTAACACAATTAATATCATTTTTAACATCGGATATCCGTACAACACTCGTATCATTATTGATTGGTTATTTAGTGTATAAATTGGCAAGGTTTTATTATTTAACTACAACATTACCTCCCGGTCCCCTTCCCTGGCCTATTGTGGGAAATATACTGTGTAAGTGAGAAATACTTTAGAAATCATTCATTCATTTACAATATTTGATAATTAATTTATGATTCCTAAAATTATAAATAGTATTCAAAACAAAGTCACACTGGGATGAGGTGTTCAGACAACTGGCTAAACAGTACGGACCGGTATTCACATTCTGGTTGGGTAACAGACCGCACGTTATAGTGTCGGACATAGGGCTGGCCCGGGAGGCCTTCAAGAAGAATGACTTCGCCGGAAGGAGTATCACATTCTTCGGTCAGTTATAACATATTTGTATGAATTAGTTAACACTTTCTGTCCTCGTGTTTAAACATTGAGACTAAATAAGTCTAAATATTAAATCTAAACTCAATTATAACTGATTTCCACAAACAGGACATTTACTGTCAAATGAAAAACATTCAGACGTTATATTTGACGATTACGGGCACCGGTGGGAGGCGTTGAGACGGGTGGCCCACTCGGCCGTACAGTATGTGCTCATAATTATATACAGGGTATGTTTATAATGTAAAATAATTATATTTTTATTATAGGAAATACTCCACAAATGATAGACTGGTGAATGTGGCCAATGATTCAGTGGATCGTATGGTGAAGACTATGATAGAAACGGAAGGCCCGGGGAAAGCATTTGATCCCAAAACTTATATCTATTTAGTATTTCTTAATATATTGGCTACCAGTGCTTTCGGTATAAGGTATGAGCTTGAAAATGAAAAATTTTAATATTTATAATGTTTAAACTAAAAATACACCTGTGCTGACCCGAGACAGGCGTTTATGTGACCGATGGCGTCCTGGGGTACGTATAAGATCGTCAACTTTCTAGACATTACTAATTTGTTTCAATTCTGACAAACGATTTGAATTATAGTAAAAATTATTTTAATTAATTAAAAAATATTTAAACAAATAATACATGTATTTATATAAAAAAAATAATTCCTCGTATACTGTATATGTATTTATTCTAATTTTTTTATTTCATCAAACTTAACATCAATGCCGTTAACCTCAATGTTTTCGGTAATGATGTTTAGAAGGGAAATAGGAAATTAATAATAAAATTAGTACGGTACTATTACAGTATATGTATAATTTTGTAATTTTTTTAATAACGCAGTTTATAAAATCATATTCAAATTACATCTATAATATTTTAATATATTTTACCCAATACTGAGTCATAATAGAGTTTTTATGGTAAAAGGATAATAATCATTGAAATTAACTAGTATTTAATTTAATAGATAACTTATTAATTAATATTAATTATATTTCACACTATATTTTAAACAAATATTTATAATACAATCATATATAATGAACAATTGAAACAATGTTGTGAATGTGTCTAATGAGTCGATTATACACTTCTAACACTCGTTTCCGTTGACTTAACTTCTTGTGGTTGACCACCAGTTTGACCACCAGTTTGACCACCAGTTTGACCACCAGTTTGGCTATCATTCAAATGGGATCCTTCTTCCGGTAACTTCGATGGCAATCGTTTGAGTCTAACCTGCGGTCGATTGCCATGAGATCTCTTACACCATAAACAGTGAGTAAATCATAATCAGACAAATGATCACAACTATTGTCACTACAATCGGGATCACGAACCACAGCCAAAACTTGGATGTCTCAGTCGGTTGAGTCGTTTGAATAGTAGTGGTGGTGAGGGACGTAGGGCCGGGTCGGGTAGGTTTAGTAAATCTCGGCCCTAAACACTGAAAGAAATCCAAAATACTTGCCGTTTTCAACACTTCCAACTCCTTTGACACGTTGTATGCGTTGACCACAACTTTATTGATGTAGTAATCCTTGTCTCCGAACTCCAATATCTTGAACTCATAATTGTCGCCAACTTTATGGTAGCCGTCGGACACCACACACGACGCCTTAATCGCCGACTGATCGATACATTTACCACTTTTCACGTCATGAGACCAATCCGTCTCATTGCGTGACCCGAAAGACACGGTTTCGCCGATCATTATATGTCTCTTGAATTCCTGGTTTTTATTTTGGTTTCTGTCGTCATATACTGAGGGCTCCTCTGTGTCCGCAATCCATGAAAGCATAAGTTATTTCAAAATCTGTTGACAGATATGTTTAATATGAATACATGCCTTTATAATATACAAATAGTCTGTCGGCAAGTCCTGTTGTGTTGTCGAAGGGAAAGGTGAGTTAACAACAATTCAAGCGCGCGTTTTATTAAGTATTTTGTGAATTAAAGCATCAGTGAAACGCAAAACAAGTCTAATAATGTCTGGATCAATATACATTTTTTGAATAACAAAATAAAATAGAAAAATAATGAAAAAATTTTTACTTTAATCAAATGTGAACTATTCGATAAAAATAATTTGTTTTTTAAATCATTTATTTTGATTTTAAACATATTTTGTAATCATAGGGATTGAAAGCGTCGGCGATATTAGGGTCGGCATCGATACCACAATTACTGTCGAGGACTATATCGTAGTCTTGAGTCGATTGCAGAAATCTGACCAAAACTAGGAAGAGGTCAGCGATGGCTAACTTCTCGCCCAAACAAACACGTCGTCCCACACCGAACGGGATGTACGCCTTTGGACGGGTAGTCATGAACTGTCCCTCACTGTCGAGAAACCTCTCGGGGCGGAACTCAGACCCCTTTTGCCAGTCTTCATCATTACGACAACATATTCCTTGGTATACAAAAACTCCCATATTTTCAGGAATCGTATATTTACCTAAGGATATCACAATGAAATTACTTAATTAATTTTAACTGTACCGGTATATAATTTATATCAAATTACCGATTGTACTCTGGACGACAGCCTTATGTGGGACACCCATTGGCACTATATTCCTGAACCTCAGTGTTTCCGTAATGAAAGCCATGACATAATGGCATCGATTCCTGTCCTCATGTGTTGGCATTCGGTCTCCGATTTGTGTCTCAATCTCTTGTCTCAGCTTTTTCTGGACTTCTGGATAGTATGTCATCAGAAGAACCATCCATTGGAATGACTGCTGGGAGGTAAGCCACGGGCGCTTCTTATCCAGGTAATGTCAGTAGCACTCCAACCGCAGGCACTCTATTCCCTGGCTAAGGAATGGGAGAGACTCCCGGAGTAAGAATCGCCAATACTCACGTAGTGTTTTCAGGGTTTCAATGGATTCCGAGTAGTCTTTCTGATGTGAGACAAACTTCTTTTGACAAATATCTATGAATTCAATGAATTACCCTCTCTGAGGGCCTCATTCTTAGCGGTTATGAGTGCATCACAAAAGTCCCTTTCAATGGATTCCGAGTAGTCTTTCTGATGTGAGACAAACTTCTTTTGACAAATATCTATGAATTCAATGACATTGTCGTCATTTTCTTTCACTAGCTTTCTATCCAATAGTCTAATAAGTGGTGAGAATTCCCACAATAATAACCGACTTCCGGCCTTTTTAGAGAAATCTTTTAATATGTATTTAATTCTCTTGAATTCATAGTCTTCCAGATTATAACTAAAATAAAATGCAAATACTTATTAATATTATACACTAAAAATTATTTTTAGTTTAAACATTATAAATATTAAAATTTTTCATTTTCAAGCTCATACCTTATACCGAAAGCACTGGTAGCCAATATATTAAGAAATACTAAATAGATATAAGTTTTGGGATCAAATGCTTTCCCCGGGCCTTCCGTTTCTATCATAGTCTTCACCATACGATCCACTGAATCATTGGCCACATTCACCAGTCTATCATTTGTCGAGTATTTCCTATAAGAAAAATATAATTAATTTATATTATAAACATACCCAGTATACTGTATAATTATGAACACATACTGTACGGCCGAGTGGGCCACCCGTCTCAACGCCTCCCACCGGTGCCCGTAATCGTCAAATATAACGTCTGAATGCTTTTCATTTGACAGTAAATGTCCTGTTTGTGGAAATGAGTTATAATTTTATCATGATCAATTAATAGTTATAATTGAGTTTACATTTAATATTTAGACTTATTTAGTCTCAATGTTTAAACACGAGGACAGAGAGTGTTAACTAATTCATACAAATATGGTATAACTGACCGAAGAATGTGATACTCCTTCCGGCGAAGTCATTCTTCTTGAAGGCCTCCCGGGCCAGCCCTATGTCCGACACTATTACGTGTGGTCTGTTCCCCAACCAGAATGTCAATACCGGTCCGTACTGTTTGGCCAGTTGTCTGAACACCTCATCCCAGTGTGACTTTGTTTTGAACACTATTTATAATTTTATGAATCATAAATTAATTATCAAATATTGTAAATGAATTAATGATTTTTAAAGTATTTCTCACATACACAGTATATTTCCCACAATAGGCAAGGGAAGGGGACCAGGAGGCAATGTTGTAGTTAAATAATAAAACCTTGCCAATTTATACACTAAATAACCAATCAATAATGATACGAGTGTTGTGCGAATATCCGATGTTAAAAATGATATTAATTGTGTTAATAAAGACATTTCTGGTGATACAATATTCACATAAATAATAAGTAGAATATATAGAAATTTATTATATTTATCAAAACAATTTATAATAAGTTTTAAATTGTGAAAATATGACAAATATGGTGTTCACGGGAGTTGTTGTGAATACAAACTGAAATTATTTGACTAGTTTTCTAATTTTATATACACTTTTGTTATATCTTCAAGGTCTAAACGATTTATTCTTTATAGATAATAATGATAGTTATAATCACTTTTGATATCAGTTTGTTATAGTGCATTAGGTTACTTTATAAGTGTATAACTTTTTTATTTTTATTATAAAGATTATTTATTTTTATATTAATATTACCGGTAATAATTATATAAGTATATTTTTAACACTAGATTTTAATAAGCTATGTACGAGAAAGTGATAGCAAAAGTGTATTTATGTGAATCAATGTCAGTTTATTATTTAAGTACATTTCAAACCTGCATGTACATTTAAACACTTTTATTTTTGAAACACAAATTATACTAAAGGTTTAATCACAACATATGAGCTGGGGACAATCATAGTAACGTTAGATATTTTGATTAATACTTTAAAATGCAGTAATATTTGAACCTGATAAGTCATAGTACTACTCGTTTAGTTTAAACCTATGTATATTTTATGAATAATTGACTTTTGGATAAAATTAATAATTAGATATATTTCTAATTAGATTAATAATTAGAAATATAAAAAAGCTAACGTTACTATGATTGTCCCCAGCTCATATCATTTTATTGAGTAATTTTATTGAGATTGTTGGTATGTATTGTTAATATGTTTTAGATAATTTGATAATTGTATTTTACTTTATTTCTATAAAATAATTTTATAAATATTTCAATGAATTTATTTTACATTTTAATTAAATATTTAACTTCTTAAAATTAAATTTTAA